CGATCCGATCACGACTCCGTGCCGATGCGGTCCGATCCAACGCGCATTCCGAGTCGATCCGATTTGCCGATTCGAAGGTGATTTATTTTGTCAGGCAGGCTTACGATCGGGGCAGATCACTCCAGGGCTTCCCAGCAAGCCCTCAGGGCGTCCCTGAACGCTCTGAAACGGCCGCGGTCCCCGATCTTTCGTCCAGATCTGCCAGTTTTCAGAGGCCCCCGGCTTATGGTCAGAACTTTTGGCTTGGACGTTGCGTAATGGGGTGGTCTTAAGTGGGGGGGTTGCGAGGGTGGTTCGAAAAGGTACCCAAACGGTACGTAAACGAGCCCCCTGGGGCTCTGGAGGGGCCAGAAAGGGGCACGAAAGGGGACCGTTTCTGACCCCCCCCACTTATGACACCCCCCATTAAGCCACGCCCAATTGGCTCAGAGTGTCGCGCCGCCGGTGCTGGCCCACCACGCTATCAACGCCCAGGTCCCTCGGAGAGGCGGCGATCGGGGCGAGGGGCCCAGGGGCGGGCGTTACACGCATCCCCCCAGGAGCCTTGCTGAAGACGTGGACCAGTGACGCCCTGGACACATGTACCCATCGGTCGTGGAAAGCAGGTGTGTATGGAATCCCAGCTTCCAATCTAATTTTGAGCGCCTTCCTACCTCAATGATCGAGTGGCTTCGCCTTTTCCGTCCTCTTTAGGGGGCGGGCGGGCACCCAATCTATTTTCAACGCCTTCCTACTTTTTGTGTCTCTTCCTACTTTCATGTCGGGCCTGTCCCTCTACAGGAGGACTATTCAAAAGTAGTCCAGAGCTAGTCAGGGGACGATGTTTTTAAATCTTATTTGTAATGTTGGTGTATTTTGTAACCATTTCTTATTTTTCGTCCCAAATCCGCCTGTAGGGGGACATGCCCGGTCTAATCCAGGAGGGAAAACAGAACACAGACACAATTAATCGTCCACTCCCAGGGAACTACGGGAAGATATGGGACGTGGGGGGGGGGGAGACGAAAGTCCAGAGAATACGGACAACTATGGGGGATCCTGGTAGTTGTGTGTATCTGTTTGTGTCCCTGGGCCCCTTGACCAAGCCTGCTTCTTCGAAAACAACGCACGAAAAACACCGCATCGAGGAGCACGAAAAAAAACAACGCACGAAACAGCAACGCACGAAACCGAACACAAAAGCAACGCACGAAAACGAAACCTTGATCACCTGGCGAAGAGACAGCGCACGAGACCGAACAAGACACTCAGGGAATGGACGCCCGAGCGATTAGGGGGCCACGCGCGAACCCTACCCCGGCCCCCACGATCTCTGGGGGGGGAGGGTGGGGCTCGCATGTGGCCCCCCAGCGATGGCCAGGTCGCCGCCTCTGAGAGTCCCACCGCGCCGGCGCCCCGGGCTTCTCTCCGCCGCCCGCCTCGCGGCTGCCGAGCCACGGGCTGCCCGCCCCCGGGGTCACGGCGTGTCGCCAGGGCCGCCGCCGCGACAAGCCACGCACACGTTCCTTCTCCTCCTCCTTCTCCTTCTCCTCGTCCTCCTCCTCCTCCTTTTCCTGTTCCTCCTCCTCCTCCTCCTCCTTCTCCTCCTCCTCCTCCTCCTCCTCCTCCTCCTCCTCCTCCTCCCCCATTCGCTTTCCTTGTGAGTAGCTCCTCTCGTCGCGAGGCCGGTCGAAAGGACGGGGGCCGGGCGTCTCGCCACGACATCCTCCCGACCCGCCGGGTCTAAGAGACCCCCGATTTACCCCGATCCCCACCGCCCACCAGACCACCCCAGCCCAACCCGAGGGCCCCGATTTGCCCTCCATTTCCAGTGGGGGGAGCTCTCGGGGAACATTGGCAAAAACACGTATGAAGCCCGCCCCCTCCCCCCAACCTGGAATTGGGGTCTTCGGGTTGGGTTGGGGTGGTCCGGCAGGTTGTCAGATCTGATCTGGCACCGATTCTTGCTTCGTCTCTGCGTCCTCGGAAGGTGTCAGTTCTTGATCCATTCTTCCGCAGGTCGGCGCGGCCCCCCCGCATCTCCGTCCCCACAAAAAACAGATCTTGGTTGCTTTTGGTGGCTGCCCTTCGCAACTGGTCAGGACCACCCCCCAGTCTGTTTGCGCGACTGGTCGAAGCAGGTCGACTACGTACGGGCCCAGACCCAGACCTCTCTTTTCCCTACCCTCGGGGAACAAACAATGACATAAACATGAAAATTCAGGGGTCAGCGAGGGTTTCTCGGTTCGGCGCTGGACACCACGTCCCTGGCGCGCGGAGCGCGCCAATGGCGCCGGAGGCGCCGCCAGGGGGCCCCAGCGCCGATCCGAGGAATCCGCGCGGACCTCCGAGTCTTACTGTATATGGCAACCGGTACCCTTCGGCCGCATGTTGAAACCCATTCCAAGAAAGAACGTCTTCGGAGTCCTCGCAGGACGACCTCCACGAGTCGCGCCTGGCCGTCCGTCGGCGCGACGACTTCCTGCACCGCTTCGGCTTCAGCGACCGCGAGCGGACCGAG